TAGAGTTAGACCTCCTATGTCAGAAAAGGAAATTGTCGAAGTGTTTGTGCGGATGCAAGAGCCCGAATATTATGACAAAATCATGTTGCTCGTTGGAGCAAAATTTGCTGAGATAGTCAAGGTAGGTGAGACTATCGAAGATGGATTGAGAACCGGGAAGATTGCCCGTGTTGCTGCCTCGCCCGGATCTTCGGGCTTGTTGAAGAAGAAAAGAGAGGATGTGTCCTCTATATCTTATGAGGGGAAGAAGACCATAAGGAAATCCTCATCATACCAAGGTCGTTCTCGACCTTCACAGAGTTCATACTCGGTTTATTACGCACATGCTGATTACCAGAATACCCATCCCCCCAGTTACCAAAACACCCCTCCTCCCAGTTATCAAAGTACTCCCCCTCCTAGCCCTCCTATCTACCAAACTCCCCCTCCAGTTTATCCGACTCCATCTCATCACTACCGAAATGCCGCCCCCAACTGTGCCAACGTTCAGACAAATTACCAAATGCCTCCCCCAATGTACCAAACTTCAGCTCCACTTTACCAAAATACCCCCTCGCACTACCAAGCTCCACAACCAAATTATCAAACCAACTCATATCCCAGATATGAAGCCCCCCGTCTGAATGTTCCAAATTATCGCCAAATGCCTCCCTCTCAACAAGGCAATTACGATCCCTCCGTCCCAGATTTGAGAAGAAGCCTGCTAGAATTTTCACTTCGCTTATTGAAAGCCGAACAAAGCTGTTCGAGTGACTAATTGCAACAGGATAATCATCCAGTGGGGCCCAAGCCGGTTGACACTAGCTCAAAGTTTTACAGACCTGATCAAAGGTGCGTGTATCAGTCCAAGAGTGTTAGACATGATACTGAGGACTGTATCAACCTGAAGCATAAGATCCAAGACCTGATTGACCAGAATGTGGTCTCTCTTCAGACAGTCGTGCCCAATGTCAATAGTAATCCTTTGCCAGATCATGGAGGCACCACTATCAATATGATAGAGACAGATGATGACTGGTGCGTGACGAAGGCAATAGTTCCGATTGCTCCTGAGGAACTGGAAAGGGCTGTAGCTTCGCTGAGCATCAGAAAGAAGAAAGTGTTTGTGAATCTGACACCCGAGAAGGTTGTTGCCTTGGTGCCACGAGAAACTCTTACCCAACCAAAGTTTGTGATCGAGACGACTGTTACCCATAAACAAAGTTTTTGATTGAAACGACTGTTACCCAGGGTATGACCAGATCCGGCAGGTGCTACACACCGGAAGAGTTGGCTCAAGGAGGGCAGAAGAAGGACCAAACAAAAAGGCCGATCAGTGAAGCCAAGGCTGAGGAGTTCTGGAGAAAAATGCAGCCGACAGATTATTCAATTGTGAAACATTTGGAGAAGGCGCCGGCTCAGATCTCTGTGTAGGCCTTATTGATGAGTTCACAGTTGCATAGGTAGGCTCTGATGAGGGCTTTGGATGTTACTTATGTGCCTGTGGGTACTAACAGTGAGAATTTAGCAGCCATGATAAACCAGGTCATCTGAGGACACCGAATCAGCTTTTGCGACGAAGAGCTGCCCTTTGAAGGGAGGATGCACAACAAAGCTCTACACATCACTATCAAGTGCCGGGACAAAGTTATAAATCGTTTTTTGGTCGACGATGGGTCCGGTCTCAACATATGTCCGCTTTCGACTCTCAAGCAGCTGAATTTCGACTTGGGAAAGGTCTAACAAAACCAGGTCAATGTGAGAGCTTTCGATGGAGTGCAGAGAGACACGATAGGGGCAGTAAATTGGGATGTTCAGATGGGGCCTGCAGAATTCAATGTGGAGTTTCAGGTGTTGGACATCAATACAAGCTACAATTTGCTTCTAGGAAGACCGTTTATCCACATGGCTGGGGCTGTGCCTTCTACCCCTCAGCAATTGATGAAATGTTTTTGGAAGGATCAGGAATTGGTCATTCACGGTGAGGGGAGTCACTCCAATGGGTATGCACCGATCATTCACGAGGTTTCCCGAGGTTGTGATTTCTACACGGTGGAGCTGGTAAATGCCACCAGTGATGATTTGGCTCCGCTACCTCTTATGCCCTCCGTGTACAAGATGATTGCTACTGTCATGCTCCAGAGTAGTTTCGAACCAGGTTTCGGAATGGGGAAGCACTTTCAAGGAATTATCGAGCCTATTCAAATCCCCACCAAAGGAGAAAAGTTTGGTTTGGGGTATGTCCCCACAGATGCTGACGAAGTAGAGATGAAGAACGAGAATGTTGATCAAGCATTAGCCAGGCCAATTCCTCATCTGTACCAGTCATTTTCGGTACGAGAAAATGTCAACAATAGTGGTCTCGGGGAAGGAATCTGGGGCCTGTTTGAGGAGATTGATGTGGTCATTGAGGAAGAGGCTGGGACATCAGGCATCCGTGATGCAGAACCTGAGGAGCGATTGCAGATCTGGACCTCCACAGCACTCCTGATTTCCCGCTCATCTGGTAGAAAGACATGTGTCTTTTTGTTTAAATCGGTGGTGTCCGGAAGGGGCCCGAGGACCCACCCTTTATGCAACTGTTATTTATTTGGAGTTTTTAAATTCCCTTGTGATGTTTAAAAAAAAAAAAGGCAAAATGGCCCTCGGCCATGGCCAAAGTTTGTGCTTGTCTTTCAATTTAAATGAAAAGCCTCTTTTATCAAAATTGGTTTGTTTACTTATCTGTTTATATTTTACTTTCCTAACTTTGTTTGTTTATGATTTCAGTAATAATAATTTAAAACCTGCCAATGTCATGTCGTGTCATGAACCGAGTGAACAAAATAAGGCAAGTGATGATGAATGTGAGGAATACGGAGAAGAAAATGAGGTACCCAAACATGTTGCCAAAGAATTTTGAAGACACTGAAACTGTGAATCTCGGAGATGAGGAATGTGTCAAAGAAGTCAGAATCAATGTCCATCTGACTGAAGCCAAAAGAAGAGAACTGGTTCGTTTGCTCAGGGAGTACATTGATGTATTTTCCTGGTCTTATAAAGACCTGCCAGGGCTGAGCACGAATATGGTGTCCCACAAGTTGCCGATCAATCCAGATTTAAGCCCAGTAAATCAAAAGACTCGGAAATTCAAGCCAGAGTTGAGTTTGAAGATCAAAGAGGAGATTACAAAACAAATCAAGTCTCAAGTAGTGGAAGTGATGCAATATCCGACTTGGTTAGCCAATGTTGTTCCGGTTGCCAAGAAAGTTGGAAAAATCAGAATTTGTGTTGACTACAGAGATCTCAACAAAGCTAGCCCGAAAGATAATTTTCCATTGCCAAATATTCACATCCTCATTGATAACAGCGCTAAGCATGAGATGCAGTCATTTGTGGATTGTTATGCGGGTTACCACCAGATCCTGATGGACGAAGAAGATGTAGAAAAGACAGCTTTCATCACGCCTTGGGGTGTATATCATTATCGGGTGATGTCGTTTGGTCTCAAAAATGTCGGTGCTACTTATATAAGGGCCATGACAACTATCTTTCACGACATGATTCACAAGGAGATCGAGGTGTATGTAGATGATGTCATATTCAAAGTCCCGCGAGAGTTCGGATCACTTGACTCACTTGAGAAAATTCTTTGATTGTCTGCGTCGATACAATTTGAAGTTAAATCCTGCCAAATGTGCTTTTGGGGTTGCCAGCTGGCAAGTTGTTGGGATTTATAGTCAGCAGGAGGGGCATTGAGCTTGACCCTTCCAAGATCAAGGGGATCCAAGAATTACCTCCTCCAAAGACCAAGAAAGAGGTGATGAGATTTTTGGGAACGTTGAACTACATTAGCCGGTTCATAGCTCAATCCACCGTGGTGTGTGAGCCCATATCTAAGTTATTGAAAAAGATGCCTCGACCAAGTGGACCGGCGAATGTCAAACTGCTTTTGATGCCATCAAGAACTATTTGTCCAATCCACCGGTGTTGGTCTCTCCACGAGAAGGGACTCTGTTATTGCTATATTTGTCGGTCTCAGATAACGCATTGGGATGCATGCTTGGTCAAAATGATGAAACAGGGAAGAAGGAGCGAGCCATTTATTACTTGAGCAAAAAGTTCACTCCATATGAGGCTCGTTACACTCTTTTGGAGAGAACATGTTGTGCTTTGACTTGGATCGCTCAAAAGTTAGACATTATTTGTCTTCTTATACCACATACCTTATTTCCAGGATGGACCCATTGAAGTATATTTTCCATAAAGCAATGCCGACCGGGAAGTTGGCCAAATGGAAAATGCTTTTGAGTGAGTTTGACATTATGTATGTGACTCAAAAGGCGATTAAAGCACAAGCCTTAGCTGATCATCTTGCGGAGAATCCAGTTGATGAGGAGTATGAGCCGCTCAAGACTTATTTTCCCGACGAGGAAGTATCATTTGTGGGTGAAGATATTTCTGTAGCCTACCCTGGTTGGAGAGTATTGTTTGATAGAGCGGCGAATCACCAAGGGAAAGGTATCGGAGCGGTCTTAGTATCAGAATCTGGTCAACACTATCCTGTGGCAGCTAAACTCCGATTTGATTGCACGAACAATATGGTAGAGTACGAAGCTTGTATCCTTGGTTTGAAGATGGCAATTGATATGAATGTTCACGAGTTGCTGGTTGTTGGAGATTCAGATTTGTTGATTTATCAGGTTCAAGGAGAATGCGTCGTAAAGAACCCAAAGATCACACCGTACGTGCAGTATATACAGAAGTTGTGCAAAAGATTTCGCAAGATTGAGTTCAGACACACTCCCAGGACGCAGAATGAGTTGGCTGATGCTCTTGCCACCATTGCCTCAATGATTAAACATTAAGATACAAGTTATATTGATCCAGTGGATATAGAGGTAAAAGAACAGCCTGTCCATTGTTCGCATGTTGAAGCGGAACCAGATGGTCTGCCTTGGTATTTTGATGTCAAAAAGTATTTAGAGGACGGGACTTATCCTGAGAATGCAACGTTCAACCAGAAGAAATCGATACGCCGTATGGCCCTCAATTTCTTTACAAGCGGGGAAATCCTTTATAGGAGGACTCCAGATTTAGGTCTTCTCAGATGCGTTGATGCTAATGAAGCTGCAAAGCTTCTGGAACAGATACATACCGGAGTTTGTGGTACTCATATGAATGGGCTCACTTTGGCGAGGAAGATCCTTCGAGCCGGCTATTTTTGGATGACTATCGAACAGGATTGTTGCAAGTTTGTGCAGAAATGTCATAAATGTCAAGTGCATGGTGATTTGATTCGAGTGCCGCCTCACGAACTTAATGCTATGCGTTCACCTTGGCCATTTGTAGCTTGGGGCATGGATGTCATTGGTCCAATAAAGCCAGCCGCCTCTAACAGACACAGATTCAATTTGGTTGCCATTGACTACTTCACCAAGTGGGTGGAAGCAGCTTTGTACAAGTCGGTGACCAAGAAAGTTGTAGCTGATTTTGTTCGCAACAATTTGATATGTAGGTTTGGAGTGCCAGAATCCATCATCACTGATAATGGAGCGAATCTCAACAGTCACCTGATGAGAGAGATATGTGACCAATTCAAGATTACTCACCGAAACTCAACCGCCTATCGTCCCCAAATGAATGGAGCTGTAGAAGCCGCCAACAAGAACATAAAGAAAATTTTGAGGAAAATGATTGATAATCGCAATAGTTGGCACGAGATGTTACCATATGATTTGTTGGGTTACCGAACGACTGTCAGGACATCAATCGGAGCTACTCCGTATCTGCTGGTATATGGAACAAAAGCAGTTATACTTGCAGAAGTTGAAATACCTTCATTGAGAATCATTCAAGAAGCTGAATTGAACGACGCCGAATGGGTCCGCAAACAGATTGATCAGTTAACGTTGATTGATGAGAAGAAAATGGTTGCTGTTTGTCATGGACAACTGTATTGACAAAGAATGATCCGTGCTTTCCACAAGAAAGTAAGAGCCAGAATATTCGAAATTGGTCAGTTAGTTCTCAAACACATTTTCCCTCATCAAGATGAGTATAAAGGGAAATTTGCACCAAATTGGCAAGGACCCTACATGGTTCGTAAAGTGTTATTTGGAGGTGCCTTGGTACTGTCGGAGATGCATGGCACCGAATGGACGAAACCGATCAACTCAGATGCTATCAAGAGATACTATGTGTGAAGCTTCAGTTTGTATTTCTGTCATTTCTTTGTAATCGTTCTATTTATTTGTAATTGCTTTGTTTAAATTTTTATCACTCTTTTAATGAACTACGTCTGACCTGAATTCTCAATAATGAGATACGTAGGTGGCCTATGTCGGCCTCGGTCACTCCTTTATCACCTTTAATATTTTGCTTTGTATTTGAACTACGTTCGACCTGAATTTCAAAAATGAGATACGTAGGCGGCCTATGTCGGCCTCGGTCAGTTTCTTTATAAATTTCTTATTTTTGATAACCCCCGAGAAGGGAACTACGTTTGACCTGATTCCTGCCTCAATGGGATACGTAGGCGCCACAAGGGTTTGGTCATACCTCCCGTAAGATTTCTATTTTTCTTTAAAATAGAAACTGGGACAGAATTTTACAGAGGGACTCAGAAATTCTCAAGAAGAAGATCTCTCCAACAAAGTCAAGACCAAACTTACTTTGAAATTGGCAACTGGGACAGAATTTTTGAGAGGATCTCAAAAATTCCATGATTTGATCACCAACGGTTCGAGATAAGCCAAGACAGTTAACTGAGACAGAAATTTTGAGGATGGCCTCAAAATTTCAACAAGGTTCATCGGCATTTTAGAGCAACTTTGAATCCTTCCCCAACAAGTAATCAAATAGATCTCGAAACATCAACTCCATATGGCGTTCATCAAGCTTAACTTGACATGACATGACACTTGGTAGTGACCTTTTCCAAACATTACTTTGGAAAATCTATTTTTTCTTAAAAACTTTTCCCTCATGTTTAAATTATTTGCATAAAAATATTTTGTCTTATCTATCAAGAAGCGGGAGATCAGAAAAATCAGTCAGAGATAGCAAGACAAGGAGCAGACTACCGAAAAAATCAACACAGATCAGTTTATGTTTTTTAAACTAACAATTTTTCTGTGGATGCAGGTCTGTAGGTTTACCTTAAAATCAGCATGTTCTTCCATTCAATGAATATGGAGAAGCCAAAAGGGCGAGAGCTCCCCTAAATTGACAATTTTTTATGTGGATGCAAGAAATATTTTATGCCGTTTATATCACAGATTTTGGAATATGATTAACATTATTTCATTCAATTCCCAACAAGGCGAAGTCCATAATGAACGTACAACTATGTTCAGGGATGGAACGGACGAAAGATGCGAAGAGATTAGCATTATTATTTTCCAGCGACTAAATATACTTGGAAGACATTTATCTGCATTATATTATCAGATATGATAATATCTCTTACCCGGGGGGTCATTTATATTGTATTGTCAAATGAGATGATACCACTACTCCGAGGGTCATTTTTATTTTTATTGTCGATTGAGACAATACCGCCGTCCAAGAGATACCCAGAAGATCACCTATGTTGTCCGGTGAACCATTATTTTCGTTCGGTACTAGGGATGGCATTATCAGAAGAGAAAGAAATCATGCATTGCAAGAGAAAGAAGTCATGCATATCAAGAGGAAGAGGTCATGCATTGCAAGAGAAAAGAGTAATGCATTGCAGGAGAAAAGATTCATGCATTGCAAGAGAAGATGCATGCATCGAGAGAAAACATTCATGCATTGCAAAAAAAAAAAAAGATTCATGCATTGCAAGAGAAGATTCATGCATCGTGGGGGAAGAATCATGCATTGCAAAAGAAAAGATTCATGCATTACAAAAAAAGAAGTCATGCATCGCGGGAAGGAGATTCATGCATAGCAAGAGAAGGATTCATGTAGCGCAGGAGAAGATTCATGCATTGCAAGAAAAGATTAATGCATCGCGAGAAGAGATTCATGCATTGCGAAAAAATATTTATGCATCCCGGGAAAAAGGTCATGCATAGAAAGAGAAGATTCATGCATAGCAAAGAAGGATTCATTCATCGCGGAAAAGAAGTCATGCATCGCGGAAAAAAGAGTTATGCATAGCACGAAGAAGATACCATGCATAGCAAGAGAAAAAGTCATGCATTGCGGGAAAGAGATTCATGAACGTAGCAAGAGAAGGATTCATGCATCGCGGAAAAGAAGTCATGCATCGCGAAAAAGGGTCATGCATCGCAAGAGAAGGATTTACCCATCATAAGAAGATCAACATCGACTGCATCATTTTTCTTTGCAAAAACGACATCAAGAGAATCGTCAACATCAGCCTATTTTGTTACTTTGACATCAAAGGAAGAGTACATTGAAGATTATATTGCAAATATGAGACATAAGCTTTATTGCTTTACGTCAAACCCGATGGAGTTGGCGTCAAATGTTCAAGGAGAGCAATTAAGTGTCAACACGGTAACAAACACTATCTCCCCATTTGAATTGCATTTTATGCTAAGGAGTTTTATCTTAGTCTTTGTCGAGAGCATCCGAGAGGATGAATTCTCAAAACAAACCACAGGTGCGGACGACATCAAAAGGGATGCAGCACAACGTGGGACTTTTCTTAGCAGCGAACTAGGACACAGTCCAAAGAGGAGTGCCAAACTCTTAGGACGTGAGCAGAGGAGCGACTTTCACCACAATCAAACCACACCCCTATCAAAAGGCATGTGGGTTTTCCTTTAGGTTTCCTGGTTTCAATTTCGCAACCGGAAATGTTTTGGTCTTTACCGGGAGCAGCTATCCAATCTGAGTGATAATGCACCAAGAGCTCTGGAAATTATGTCCGTATAAGTTCTTAATTATGGGTGTGAAGCGCGCCACATTCATGGCTAAGAGGTTGCAAGCCTCTTTTTCATACTTGACTTACTGTGTCGCTTTTCCGGAACCAAAGGTTATCTGGCATAATAGGTTTCCTCTTCAACCGATCGAGTCGAACTACAAGCAGCCTGATTCCTTAGGTTGAGGGATATGTAGGCGGGATCAGTGTTTGAAAACTCGGCTGTGTTCCAACATTCTCTCTCAAATCTTATTCCCAAGCATTCTGGTATCTTCATAATTCGATATCGGAATGGCTTTGAATTCTTTCAAATTGTTCGTGAAATCAAGCATATCGAACTACAAGTGGCCTGAATTCTCATATGGCCTGAGATATGTAGGAAACCCACTTCCGGGTTGGGCCATAATTCCTAAAGTCCGTACCAAATCCCTTTTTTATAAAAGATGAGTAAGTGGTCGGTCAAAATTGGATTTGTCAATTTCATTTTCCTCTAATTTCTTGCATCAATTCGAGTAAAACGAGGGACAGTTGTTGACACCCAATTTTGACCCTCCTCGATAGAATTAATTTCCGAGCTTCTTAATTTTCAAGCAATTTAAAATAAGTGACTTTATAAAGTTCAAAATATTTTCGAGTTAATTTTAAATTGTTTTGTCACTTTTTATAATATTTAAATAACATATGTATATTTTTGAATTTTATATTTGAGAACCATGTCAAAAAGATTTTGTTTTAACTTAGTTCGGTTTAAATCATAATCGCAATTTTGAATTAATTAGTTTGTATTTAAATTAATTATTTCATAATTGAGTTAGTTATTTTATTTCGTTAAACATTAAGAAGCTCATTAATTAATTTATATTTGTTCATCTTATTTGGCTTTTGGCCAAATTTCACCAATTAATTTCCATTTGGCTCAAGTTTTAACCGCAATTGATTACATGTTAATTCTCTGTAGTTACAATTATAGCCATTTTGTTATTTGTCATCCACCCATTTGTAATGGGTCAATTCTTACCCCTGTTATAATTGTCATCAGCCCATTCCTTTATTTTGTAGCAGCCTTTTCTCATCTTTAATTACGTAGCCCACCAAATAACCCCTGACCCGGCCCACTCCAATTCTTAAAAGAGACTCCATAACTTTCTTCCTTCAACGTTAACCCAGCAGCCCCAACGTCCGCAAAATTCAGTAGCTTACGACAGCAGTCCAAATGCCAACAACGACTCCAAACGGCGTCGAATACATAGAAGACAGCAACTTCGTTGTCTTCTTCCTACAACGTCCCTCTCGAGTTGTACAATAGTACTGCAGCAGCCGCGATTCCAGTGAAAAAGCACCTGCGATTTTGTCCTGCCAGCCGCGCCTCCGTCATTGGGGCTGTGGGATCGATCCACGTCGCGCCAAAGGACAAGTGGGATCGATCCATCCGTCCATCTACCTCTCCTCTTACGGAATGAGTTGATTTTTGCAAGAAAAAGTGTTTAGCCAAAATGGTGAAAATATTTTGGGAGTTTTGAAATCCGAAAGGGCGGGGGGTTGAACTCTAGCTCACTACTATAAGTTCCCTTTTTCTTCCTCATTTTTGGAGGAAGGGAGTTGGATTTTTTTTAGCAAAAACAAAAAAAAGAATACAGAGGCTTGAGCATTAGTATTTTTTCTAAAATACAAGCTGAATACGTTTTAGAGATAGAGGATACATTAGTATTTTTTTAGGTGTTTGGGTTCAGTTCTTTGCTCAAATCTCTTGTCCACTATTCGTTTCGAGTTTTGGTGGTGAGAGCTCGCTGCGCTCCTTGCTCGTCTCATCTTAGTCCGCTGCACCGAAGAAGGTATATTCCTTATGACTCCAAATCATTTGGTTGGTATTCTGCTCGTGAATCGACCTTCTGTTGATTATTCTTCTTCTTTTGCTTGAATGATTGTGTTCTCGCCCGATTTGTTGTTTGTGTCTTATGTGCTGGTCTTTAAAGTCATCGACTCAATCTCGATGCTACAACTAGCTGAATCTCTATTTAGTTTTGCTTAGAATGGTTTGCTATTTTATTAGGTTTAAATTTCGAGCCTTAGTCGCACAGTCCGCTG